GAAGAGCGGGGTGGGGGAAGCTTCTCACCAGCATTCCTATCTTGCTCACCCTAGGCTGGGTAATCAGGAGCTCCATTATCACCTCCCTTTTCTGCATTTACCTCGGGCAGAGGAGCTGGGATGAGGACAAGGTGTAAATGTGCACGTGCTGCAGGTCCTGGGCTGGCTCTGCTGTCTGAAAACAAAGGGAAAAGCAAGTACTCCATTAGGATGGGCTGTGTTTGCCCAAGCAGGGATATTGTCCTGGAGGGGAGACTGCAGTGAGGTCCCTGTTCCTTCTCCCTTGGTCTCAGCTGCCCCTTCTGACAGTGACAGCTTCATTTCCAAAGGCAGGAGCAGCAGGGAAGATGAGAATCCCAGAATAGTTTGGGTTGGAAAAGACATTGAAGCTCATCCAATTCCACCCCCTACCACAGGCAGGGACAACTTCCACTGTCCCAAGTTGCTCCAAGCCCTTTCCAACCTTGCCTTGGACACTTCCAGGGATCCAGGGGTGGCCACAGCTTCTCTGGGCACCCTTGTGCCAGGGTCTCCCCACCTCACAGGGAACAGTTCCTTCCCAACATCCCACCTAACCCTGCCCTCTCTCAGTTTTAAAGCCATTTCCCCCGTCCTGTCATGCCCTTGTAAAACATCTAGGGAGTGGTGACTCCTGAGGGACACAGGCCTGGCTTTACAGCAGAGACCTTGAAAATGGGGAAACAATGTAGAAGATGAAAAGACAAAGGACAGGAGGTGACAGTGAAGGCTCAGGGCTATAAGCAACTCACCTCTAGTACAGAAATGCGAATCTTGGAGCAGAAAAGGGGCAGGTAAGCAGATGCAGACGTTTAAGCTGTACTGCCATTCCAGCAGTTTCCTCTCTGGAGACACAGCAGCACTAACTGATCCCCAGAGCTCCAAGCATGAGGAATGTCCCAGCATCTCCTACAGCTGCACCAAACCCCTGCCACCACACAGTCAGGAGATGGCAACACCAGGTTCCAGCACGGCACAGGGGCCTGATGTGATCTCCCAGGTCAGAACCCGACTCTGAGCATCAACAGCAAATTAAAGCCCTTTTGCCCAAGACACAGAAGAACCTGTGGGTGAACATTTCCCTCATGCAGCTACATCATTGTATGAAAACATTGTATGTGATCAGCTCTCCTCATCCCAGCTAAACAACCCGCCCATCCTTGCTCAATTGTGCAGCGCTGCAGAAGTGCAAAGCAACTCACTCCAAACCACAATTTGAAGTTATTGTTATTATTTCTATTGCACAGAGACCCCCAGGTGAGAGTCCAACCAGAACAGGTGTTGCACACTCTTTATTTCAATTAAATACTGTAATAGGGAGAGCAGCCCAAGGCTGCAGGGAGCCAAATTAGAAAATTGCATGGAAAACACAAAATCTATCAGATTCACTCAGGTGAGGTTCACAGGAAGGTGGCTGGCTGTTCCTTGGGGCAGCTCTGCTGTGAAGGAATGAGGCAGTCGGTTCTCAGGGAAAGACTCACAGTAACATTTTCTGCTGGCCAGACACGACTTTTGCTAAAGGGGAGGAACAAATCCTGCCCCAGATGGACCCTCCCAGGTTTGTCTGAGACTGTCACAGAGCTGAGAACTGAACTTGAGTAACTGCTGTTGAACATCTGAGTTGTCCACTGCACCAAGGTGAGAAACACAGGAGCCCAGCAGCTGAAAGCCTTTGGAAGCATATTTTCCCAGCAGACTTGAATTTTGGGACAGAAAAGTGGACTAGACCAGAGGCTCTCTGCTACTTGCCCAATATAAGCACTGGACATCACTTTCCAAAGGCAGCTCAGCTGGGAGTCCTGGAAATGAGGCTTTTAAAACTCAGCCTAACAGTTTGTCCTCCTCTGCTCCATGTTCTGGGGTCCTGCATCCAAGCAGATAAATAAAGCACCCAACTCCACGCCCACACTGCCAATAAACTGGGATACTTTGCCTTGGGATGGAGCCATTCCAGAAGGGAAGCAGCATTTACAAAAGATGACACTGATTTTGGGAGAAATATATTTGGAACAGTGGAAACATAGCACTAAAATCCGCCTCTCCTTTTCTTCGAAATTAAAAACCCCAACACAGCCCTTTCTTCAGATTCCTCCCCAGAAAGATGAAGCCAATTTTCCAGCATCCCAATGAATATTTCAAAGATGAGTGTTTCCTTAAGCTAATTGGTGCCCATTATCACGGAATTAAAAGCCAAATGGATTGAAGGCAATTGAGCCTCATCACTTCCATTATTCTCTTTTCCCCAAAGACAATCCTGATTTTTAACTCCTCTGACCCTTGGGCTTTCAGACAGGTTTTCTGACAGGCTTGCTCACAGCACAAGAGCTCAAGGAAAGGTCCATAAACTGCAGAGGGCAGAATGGACAGGTGGAGAGGCAGGATCCGTGACAAACGGCTCCAGAGGGAATTTCAGCACACTGGGAATGTGCTCTCACCAGTTTGCATCCATCCCCTGGCCCTCCCCCTGTTTGTAACCCACACATTGACCCAGAGCCTTGCTCCTGCTGTCCTTGCTGCTCACCACATGGGCTTTTTTCCATGCTAAATCCCTCAATTCAGCTTCCAAACCCAATCCCTGGATTCATCCCTGCTCCCCAAAACCCTGCCTGGCTGGGCAAACTGCTGGAGCAGGGCAGGTACAACCTTCAACAGCAGAACTTCATCTTGCACTACTCTCCAAAATGCAACTGAAGGACTTCTGATTTTTAAAGACTGACACAAGCAGCAGGTGACAAATAAATTCTGCCTTTTCCTGCTGTCACAGCCATTCCAACTACCCAGAATCACTGGGATTCTTCCTTCAGGTCCCATCCGACTTTGTTTTTTGCCTTTCCCATGGTTGGCTCCTTATTCCAGCCAAACCAAAGCCCCCAGGACAGCAGCACCAAGCAGGTGCTTGTTCACCAAAGAGCCCAAATGGGCACTGGCACCTCTTAAACCCTGGCCCACAGAACTATTTATTACTCCTCTGAAAGGCTCCCAAGGAAGATTTTGTGGCTGAAATGTGACTTTTCCCCTTTTCCATAAAGGAAGAAAACAAACCCAGCCAACTATTGCAGGCAGCTTCCCATTTATTGCCATGTCCTCCAGCAGTGTGCACTGGGGACTGCCGTGAGGAACTCCAGGAACTGGGGATGATTTCCTGCTTTTGCCACCCAGATTCAGGCACTGGCCACTGCCCAAGGGACTAAACAGCACTGCTGGTCTGTTTGGGAGCCTGAATTGCCTTTGGGAAAGCTGTCAGTGCTCTGATGAACACTCAGAGCTTTGAAGGAAGCCTGAGGAGTGATCTCAAGGAATGCCAGTCATACCGAGCTCAGCCTTCTTCCCTCCCACACGGGGCTTTTGTTCACTCGCTGTTTACAGCTCAGAATTATTGTCATCATAAATGTTGAATCATGAGGCTGGAATCAAAGGGAAAGATTCCTGCTTTGTTTGTGGCTCCCTCCTTTGTTGCCCACCTTTCCCCCCCTCCCGGTTTGGTTGTGTTCCTCATTCAGTTTATGTGACACATTTAAGTCTCGGAGGGACGAGAGCTATGGCAACAGGAGTTGTGCAGCTAATCCCCGATGCAGAGTGCTAAAATCACACCATGCAGCAGCACAGCAATTCACCAGAGCAGCCCTGTTCTCATTCATGTTAAACTTGTGGAGAGAAGTCCCAGAAATTCTGGATAGGGGGAATAACTCATGTGCCATGTGGGTCAGGGCAGTGGGTAAAGCTGGAGCCTAGTCAAGAGAAGATGTGGGAATGGGGTCTGGGTCAGATTAGCCTGGAAACATAAGAAAAAATGGCAGAGGCAGTAAAAGTGGCTGGAAATTGGTAGAGACTCACTTTTGCTGCACTTCTGCTCCAGGTCACTATTTCTGCTCATGTACAGGAGGTGATAATTCGATATGACACCCTTACAACCCTCCTTATACTTTGATTCCCTCCAGTTGATCCCAGTCTGAGCCAGAACCCACAGGGAAAACAGCACAAACTGCTCCAGCTGGGCTGAGCCCCCCTGCCTAGCCCAGAGAGCCCTGGGGCTTGCTGGGCACCAACACGGCCACCAAGCCCCAGCTCAGCCCCTCAGCACCACCAGGAACAGGCCACAAACTCCACACATCTTTTTATTTTTTTACATTTTTTTCAGAAAACCCCTCTACCTGGAAAGATAGCAGTGGTGTGGAGCTTCTCTCTGCTCCCCAGGATGTTCCTGGCTCCATCAACACCAAGGAAAACCCCCCCAAGATGCTGTGGGACACCAGGAAACTGCTCCTACCTGGGCAGCCCAGCAAAAAAATTGGAATTAAACAAAGCCTCCTCAAAAACGTGAGCACTGCACACAGAAAATAAATAAATAAATATTATATATATATATATATATATATATCTATCTCAAAAATAAGGAAAAAACAGGGCAGCAAAGCTCACTTGTGCTCTCCATTCAGCTCTGCACTGGGAATTAATCTGTGATTCACAACTTCCCATCCGTGGGCTGAGAACCAACTGGTTATGAATGAATATTTTTGCAAACTAAAGAACGTGCAAGGTCTGCTGTAGGACAGCTTTTACACCGAAACCACAACTTTACAACCAGCACCTGAACCCCAAACAGAGCTGCACAGACTCACCCCAACCTTCACCTCCTTCTTGGGGAGGTTCAGGTGCTGTAGGGGGAGAGCTGAGACCCCTACCCCAGAAAGGGACAGGGTTACAGAAGAATCCCTGCTCTCCACAGCCAGAAATAAAGCATGATTCTAGCCAGGTGTGGGCTGTGCTGGAATTTGGCTGGGATTCAAGCACCACCCTTTTTGTAATTAGCGAGAGGCATGAATGGAGGGCTGTTACAGAGGAAATGATAGTTTATAATAATTGATATTCTCATTTAGATGGCATAATTTATTGTAAATAAATAAATGAAGAATTAAAAAGAAGCTTTTATTTGTAAGGAAAAAAATAGATTTGAGATTGGGCAACAGAACCAGCAAAAAACTGGAGAAGCCCCCTCAGGATCCCTCTCCTCGGGTGCCCCTCCCCGTGCCAAAGACCACCTGAGCTGTGTTATTGTTCCCAAAATCCTCCCAAATCCTTGGGATAAATCAGATTCCCTAACAATGCTTTGTGGTGTCAGTGATTCAGGCATTATTTTATCCTTGGCCAGGGTTTTGGTGTGTAGCTGACAGGGCTCTGGCCTCCACACAGACCCCGATCCAAAACCTTTCCACTTATTTATACGTTTTTAGCAAACAAAAGAATCAACGTTCACTGGCTCTAAGCCACACAATTCTCTTCATCAATCACCATTCTGTTCATTATTAGTTTCTTGCTCTTCCTGCTTATTTGGCCCACATCCTTTAGTCCTTTTATCAGCAGGGACTCTGCAGCTTTCCAGGCCTTGATCTCCTCTGTATCTCCTGGTTGCTCCAACATCCTCCAAGTGCTATAAATTTAAATTCCCAGATATCCAAGTCCCTTTGGTTCAGTTTGCTGGAGCTGGTCAACGTTGGTTTCAGCAAACTTCAGGCTTCAAGTGATTTAAAGATCAAAGTAACAATAAGGGCCTGTGAGGAAACTCGACCAGTGCTGCCTGCAAGTGGGCACTGTTCACTGTTTATTAAAAAAAAAAAACCTCATTAAAAATTATTAAAGGAAGCGATTTCCAGTATTGCCAGCTTACTGACCTTCTGGGAGATGGGAGTGGGACAGAAAGGGGAAGGGGAGGGAAAAAGGAATAGGAGGGAAAAGGGAGGGGCCTCCATGCCTTGCCTGGCGGAGGATTCCTGAACATTCCACATGTTTCTGGAAGCTCAGGAGCTTTGGGATTCACTTCCCCTGATTCCTGAGGGTAAGTTTTGTTGTATTTTCACTTTGGGGAAACTTTGTTCTTTCTGTTTGGTTCCATGTTACGGGATATTTTGGGAGTAACGGATGTGTATGGTGAGTTCTCCCATGGAAATTGTCCATGTCACCTCAGGATTTGCAGGCAGATCTTCAAACTTGATGTGTGCAGGAGTGAATGTGGAGCAGAATCAGGTCCTGAGGAGCTGGGTGTGCTGAGCAGGTACCTGTTTGTCAGGTGCACATCCCTGGATAGTTGGGATTTTCTTCTTAATTTTCCTTCTTCATTTAATGTTATTTTTACCAATTTCCTTATTAATCTAATTTAATTCTTTTGTTAATCAACTTCAAATGGGGATTGGCTTTGCAACATCTGCCTTGTGCTGAGTCTGCTTCTGTCATTCTCTGTGTTGAGGTGTTGCTTTATCTGCACTCTGGTTTAGGCTGGAGAGCTGCAAGAGAAACAAAGTTGGTTTTTTTTATTAGGAACGAAAGCACTGCAATTTGGCTGATTCTGCTGCTGGAGCCTTGAGGGAAGGAGAGCTGTGAGCACCTGGAAAAACCCCTGATGAGAGGTTCAGCTTGTATAGAAACATGCAAATAAAGTAGCTTTTGGAGCCATGTGGAGAATTTGGCTTTGTTCAAGTTGCACCTCAACATCTGCTGGTGCCTGGGCTGGCTCCAGCCACAGGTTCCAGCACTGTGCTTTCAGTGCTTGTGGAAATCCTGCTGCTCTGGGTGTGCAGGGTTGTGCTGCTGTTTTTCTTCCAGCAGTACCTATGATGTGCTGGGTACAGGTTTAGGAATGTGCGTTAAAAGACTCAGAAGAGGAGGTGTAACGTAGAAACACATTTCCGTCAAATCCTTGTGGCATCTCCATGGGAAGCTGGAATGTTTAATTCATAAATTGGATGTGGGGGAAGCCCTGGGATTCCTGAGCGTGGCATGGGCACTTCAGGAAAAACTGGTGGGGTCTGAGGAGAGGGATGAGGGACAAGGCTCATCCTGAAATGCTCCTGACAACACTCTGGTGGCTGTAAGGAGTTGTGGAGTGGTCCCTGGCAGGAGCAGCTCGTCCTTGCCTGTCTCCAGGACAGGAAAAGGAAATTTTGCATGTGCTGCTGATAAACTTTGAGCCTCTCTGCTATCGCTTTATGCATGTCAGGATTTGTCAGGGTAGGAAAGCAGATTATTGCAGATACTGCAGAGCAAGGGGCTGCCCACTGCGGGTTTGGGATCAGTCCTGGGTGGGCACAGAACAGCTGGGAAAGGGATTTTTTGGCTGCCATGTGCAGGTGAGGCTGAAAATGCCCCAAGTGCAGGCAGAAAATGCTGTTAGTGCTTCAGACTGGGGCCTGTCTGACGCAAATTCGGAAACACCTCTCCTGACTTTCCAGGTGCTGAGCAAAATGTGCTTTCTTTACCTGTTGGAAGCTCTTGGTAGGTGGAGCCTGTCCTCAGGACTGAGATGTTGGGGGCTCCACAGACCTGGCAGAGCATCTGGAGTCAACAAAACTGCTAATTACACAAAAGCCTCCCTTCTTCCTGGGAGAATCCATGGCAGGAAGTTTCATTAATCCACAGAACCCCCAAACAGTCTGAAGATTCCTTTAATGGAATAGTTCCAGCTGATGCAACAAGACATTCAACCCAGAAAATAGGAACTAAATCCATCCATGGGAATTAACTGAGAGTATCTGAGGTAACTTAATTATTTAACTAATTCTGAGCTTTGGATGTACCTGGGGGCTCTCATTGTTTCCCCATAAGCAAAGAGCAGCTTGGAGCCTGCGTAGAATTTACTTTAGATGGAGTGAAACAAGAATAAATAGAGCAACAGAAGTGAAATCTTTATTTAGAGCAGGTGTGCTGGGCTCCTCTCTGCCACGCCACATTAATCCAGCCTGCAGCGACCACAGCTGCCCTGCCAGAGCCGGAAACCTCGGGAACACAGAGGGGCAGGAGCAAGAAGGGATTCCCCATTGGAAATTCTCCGTGGGTTTGGTTCTTTAGATGCAGTTTTCATTTTAAAAAAGGATTGCAAAGCAGTTTTGGACTACTTCAAAGCAGTGCTCAGGGTAGAAATGTGCTTTTCTGTGTCCTGGAGGAGGGTGGGGAGAGGATGTTCAAGCAGCTGGTCCTGTGTGGTACAGCAGGATTTTTATTCTCTTGGAGGGTTTGAGTTTGGAGGGTCTGAGCAAACCAAGCTTAGGTAAGCTCAGCCCATCTCCTCTCTTTTGGGGCATTTATTGCCTCTCCTGAGGATGTTTCCCAATGCTGCAGTCCCTGGTCTGGTGTTAAATGTGAAGTAGGAAATGCTGAAATCCTCAAGTGCTTCTGGGGAGGGAAGCAGCACCAGTGGTGCTGGAAGGGAAAAAGCAGATGAGGGAGTGGGGATGATCTCTTCTCCTGGTGGTAACCAAAACTCTTGGCCAGATTCCTGTTGAAACCTGATTAACACACATCACTTACTTTAAATTCTCAGTTAAGGTATTTTAAGGAGCCTTTTCTTGTTCCAAGCTCCATTCAAGCTGAAATTTTGCCCTGGGAAGAGAAGGGGTTTTTTTAGCTCTGGTTTTTCTGTCAATGTCTAAGCTGGTCAGTAAAACAATTCCCTTTATTTTTCTGTAGCATGTTATTCCTCACGTTCTAGCTCATGGGATGGGGTTTGTTTCCTGAAAAGCTAAGATGCAGAAGGGCTGAGTGGGATGAGTGATTAGAGTAGTGACTGACAGTGAAAAACAGGAGTTTTTTTGGAAGCACAAATGGTTGGAAAAGCATTCCTGCTTCAGCAGGGAAGAGGAGGGGCATTGGAGAAGGGGTGAGCTTTGTTTACAGTCTTCTAAGCAAAGGTGAGAGATACTAGCAGTGGAAAGTTCAGCTGTGATAAACTTGATAAAAGTTGCCCTTGACTGCTTACAAGCATCAGTTTAATTTAAATGTAATAAAAACCTAAAAGGGAAAATTAAGATGCGGAAAGCAGTTGAAAAGCCTTCTGAAGACATCTGCAAAATGGTTTTATTCCCAGCAAATATAAGAAAACTGTTTGGGTTTTTTATTGTCAAACAATAATTGTGCCTCCATTTATAAAACAGCTTTTACAACCAAATCTCTTTCATAGATTGCTTCCAAAACAAGGCAGAAGTTGATTTATTTTTAAACCCAGTGTCCATAACCCTCCCCTCCGTGGTGAGGGAGCATCTCCATGGTGGCAGGGAGTGACTGGAGCTGAGGCTGTGAAGGAATGGGAGGTTTGGCTGGGGCAGAGCAGGGCAGGGACCCCCTCAGCCCCTCTCCCCTGTGCTGAGCCCCATGGCACTGCCCTGGGCTGGACCCCTGAGCTGGGTTAAGGGTGAGGGAGGGTTACTCTGCTCAGGGCACTTTATCTCACATGGGTGTTGTTCTTTTCCTCCACCCAATCCCTTCCCAGTCCTTTTCCCAGTCCTTTTCTCAGTCCAGCTTTGGCCAGGTCCCAGTAGAAGAGCTCTGTGGTCTCACTCTCTTCTGTGATCATTTTAGCAGAGACAGAGCTGTGCATTCCACTTCAGCTCCCAAGCAGGCCTGAAAATGAAGCGATCTGCTTGCAATAAATACAAAACTACAAGTGCCTGTTTTCCATAGCCTCTAAAAATCCCACTGCTGTCTCCAGAGAGCAAGGAATGTTTCTGTCACACAGACCCACAGACACAACCCTGTCAGACCATTGGATCTGGGAGTATTTTGAAAGGTTATTCAGTGTAAGCAATAGATTATTGGTATTGAGGCATAGGAGCTCTCTCAGCTGTGCAAACCGCTTTGGATTCAGCTGGAAATGAGAGGCCACAGGCACAGCTGGGCACAATGGATGGGATTTTCTGTGGGGGTGAAATGGCCACTGCTCTAATGATCTGCATTTCTCTGTCCTCTTCTGATGGCAGCTGTGAAATGAGGAGGTTTTGACCTGTTTGTTTGGCTGTGTCTGATGTCAGGAAAGGAAAACAATCCCTAAACCTAAGCCCAGAAGCCCCAAGAATCCTGAGTTGGGCTTTGTGCTTAGAAGACAGGAACTGAATCTTTTCCTGGGTGAGGAACCTGAAACCTACAGCCAATTAATAACTGCTGTAAAATAGTGCTTTGGTCTGGAAATGCTGACAGAGAATTTAGTGCACCTTATGGAGGGCAGGAGGGTTATAGATAAATTAATTAAGCTTTGGAAAGTTTGTAATCCTTGGACAAAGGCCTCTGTAAAGGTAATATGCAACAGCTATTACTGCAAGCTCCTGTGGTTTCAGATGGGCTGGGGACATGAGGTGCTTTTAAAAGAGAATCCCTGAGGTGACCAGGCCAGGTTGGCCAACCTGGGATAGTGGGAGCTTGAGATGAGCTTGAGATCCCTTCCAACCCAAATCACTGCATGATCCTTTAGCAAGGAGAGCCTGGTTCCTGTTGTGGTCAAGCAAGAGGCTCGAAGGCTTCTGTGCTCTGGGGTGTGTTTGAGATTTGGGCTTCTGAGGTTCCTTTGGGCTGCCTGGGGTGATCAGGCTCCTCCAGCACTTGGTGGGTATCTGTATCCAGATGAGTGTTGGTGACTGCAGGGATCAGAGCCCCATGTCCCCTGTCACCAGCATCAGCTTTACTGCCCCAGGGCAGCACCTGCAGTTAAACTCAGCTGAGCAAGCAGCACCTTGTTCCCTGAGTGTCCTCTTACAGCGTTGTCACTTGCTGTCCGTGGTGACAGAGTGCTAGGAGCCCTTGTGTGGCTGGCAGTGCCCCAGACAGGATCCTGCAGTGCCCAGGACAGTGGGGACATCACAGACGTACCTGTGATGAGCTCAAGTGAAGGGTGTGGCTGCTGTGCCCTGGCTGAGGAGCTGCCTTTGTCCCCACATCGGTGACTTGGGTCATCAGGACGTGTTTGGCAGTGCTGGTGGAGCCAGCTTGTGACCCCTCTAGAGAGGAGCTGTTGTGTCACACCACGGCAGGATGATCTGTGCTGCTGCCAGGGGCCAGCACTGCTGTCACAGGGGC